AAATAAAACAACCTACCGACTCTTTACCCTCTTCTGGAGCTTAAAATGTGTTCAGTTAATGCCCCTACTATAGCAAAGAAAGTAAGAAATTAAATAAAGAAGCATGAAAAACTCGGAAGAACACTGATCTTGGAGTCCTAAGATCTAAATCCCAATTTCACGTCTGCCAGTTATTAGAAAAGTGATATTGGATACATCAACTCAATTTCTCTAAGCCTCAATTTAGGGAAGTCATTATATACCTTGAAAAATGGTGTGCGATATTACCCGGTCTTTGTATCTCATTTGGTTTATTGTAAGGATCACAAAGAAAATATTCCAACATGGCTTGAAAACTTTTAAAGTTCTATGAGCACAGGCAGGCATTGTTACTGAAATGTATAAAAATGTATAAAAACCATCAAATTCCTTGCGATAAATTTTAGTTAATGTAGACAGTATACGGAGAGCCAATGTGGTCAGACAGTGAAGCTCAATGCTAACTGTCAAGTACATTAATAGCAAGGAATGGCACATATTCAAAGGTTTTGGCCTTTCTCCATTGAACAATTCTAATTTCACCTGGATTTCCTCTGCATGTTAAATTAGGTCCATGTACTCAAGCATCGTTCTAGCCGTAGGGAGAGAAAATGAGTCGAACAGACATCTACCAAACTTCCAAGGTCAACAACAATGGCCATATGTTTCTTTACTCCTCAGGGCACATGTTTGCCAACTCTATCTGAATCTTAACAAATAATGAAAACTTCAATATACAGACAAATCCTCTTAATAGAAGCAAATAACAATTGCTGTAATTGCAACCACATTAACCGGACTGAGTCTCAGTTTAAATTACTCCTGTACCTCTGATAGAAAACACTGTGCTTAGGAATAATGAAGTGCTTAAGACATGAACAAAATATAAAACCTCAAAATTAAACTCTTGAGGAAAATAAATTTAACTTGGCATAATTCTGGTTTGCAATATTACCGTCAGATAATGAACAAAAAGCCCTGGGAGTCGCTGGTGAACACTGAGCATACGACACCGTTAATACCTATTGGTGCTCAGTAAGACCACAGAATCCCGTTTGCTTTGGGCTGGAGAAATAGAATAAACCTGCTTTTTCTCAAACACAGGCAAATATGTACTGTGAAAAGCTGAAAATCAACTTAATCCTTCCCTTCCCGGCCCAGAATAAAAATAAATACTCTGTCTCAGACCTATGATGTGAAATCCCTTTGTGGATTTTCATGAAAAAGAGAGGAACAAACAAGAAAATGATTATGGATAGATGAGCTCTGTATAATTTTCAATCACATAACCTTGCTGGAGGAGTAGAAAATAAGAGGTGAGACAACTGCGGAGGTTTTGACAATGACTGTGCTCTAATGACTTTTTATCAGCACTGATCAGATCAGAGCTGAAGGAAGGTCCACAGCATTTTCCGCACACACCCACTCCACCATGCATTCTGGAAGTTTAGTAACTTTATGAAAGATCTGCAGGACAAGGAGGGATAGAGACACATTCCAGAAGATGTCACCTGCCACATCTCACCATCTCATCGTGCCCCATGTCCACACTTTCTTCTTTTTCCCTCTCTCTCCAGCTCTTTTTCTGAAATAACTAGCAAATCCCTCCCTTTGTGTACACACAAGAGAGCTTCATACATGCCATTTCTCTCAAGGTGTGATTATTTCTCATTCACCAACACAGAAAATGAATTTCACAGCCAATACAAAAGGGGGAAGAGGGCAGTAAGTTTGAAAAAGCAAGAACACCGCAACACCTCAGAAGAAAACGGGGGGCTATCTTCCCTTAAATTGCTTACCATCCCGCTATAGAACTGGTCCTTTGGCAAGGGAAAAACAACTGTAGGAGACGGAGCACCAGGCTTGTAGGAGCAGCCACCAGTTCTTGAGGGAGGCCCTGGGAGTGAGACAATCTCCTAGTCGGCTTGGAGACGTTTTGCTGCCTGGAGACAAGCCCTCAAGCAACTGCAGACGTTAGTGAGTTAAGATTGGTCACTCATTAGCAAGCAGGTATTATACTTTGGACACTTGTGCTGCAACAAGGTAGGAGGTGAGCCCGTGGAGAAAAAGCAGGTAGGGATCATTAAGCACATAGCTCTAGTACGCGGGTTCCCACACCTGTGGTATAATGCTTCTAAAAAAGGCCACGGCACAGGTTACTCAGGGCTCTCCCTGCACCTATGGGAAGCCCCCCTCTTGCAGGCTTGTATCTTCAATCCATGTCCCAGCTGTTTTTATTCATGCCGTGAGGGGGTGCTATAGCAGCACTGACAACAACTAAATAAGTACCTTTATTTCCTTCTTAACCATGCCAAAATAAGTAACTTAAAACTTCAAAACAAGGCGGGACACTATGGCTCATGCCTATAATCCCAGAACTTTGGGAGGCCAAGATAGAAGGATCAGTTGGGGCCAGGAGTTCACAACCAGTCTTGGCAATTGCCAGACCCCTGTGTTCTACAAAAACTAAAAAGGAAAAATTAACCCAGCAGGACTGTGCATGCATGTAGTTCCAGCTACAACAGCAGCTGAGGGAGGAGGATCCCTGTGAGAGCCCAAGAGTTTGGGGTGCAGGGAGCTAGCTCTGACAATAGAGTGAGACTCCAGAGGATGGAAGGGAGGGAGGGAGAGAAGAAAGAGGGAGAGAGGGAGGGAGGGAAGGGAAGGGAAGGGAAAAGGAAGGGAGGGAGGGAAGGAGGGAGGGAGGAAGGAAGGGAGGGAAAAAGGAAGGGAGGGAGGGGGAAAGGAAGGGAGGGAGGGAGGAGAGAGAAGTAAGAGGAGGTAAAATTGCTTCTGTCATGCAGCAGGATAATCTGAAAAATGCTCTTCAGGATGAAAGCAACTCTTTTTGGCAACTGGAACAGGTTTTTTGGATGGAGGAAAGAAAGAGGGGGATTTGAGGCCAATTGAACCCCACCAGGAGCTCGGGAAAGGGGAAGGGATTGCAGGTTCA